AGGAGGAGGAGTCAAGTTTGCCAGGTCGAACGAGTCAGTGGGCCCGCCATGCCCACCCTCCCTCCCATAACATAAGAGCCTATGGTTGCGCGTCTTGGTATTGGGACTTGCGCGCGTTCCATCCACGCAGCGAACGGAATGCGGGGACGAGGAGGATGAGGGCGGGGAAAACCAAAGAGTAGAGCGATGACGATGAGGAACGAGGGAAAAGAGGATGGGGATGTGGAGGACGAGGGGGAGTAGGAGGATGAGGATGCAGGTTTGGGGGAGGCGAGGGCGAGTACGACGAGGGATGGCGGAAGGACCTGGGATGAGGAGGATGAGGATGAGGAGGAGGAGGGACACGTGGATAAGGAGAACGATGAGGAGGTGGAGTAGGAGCAGGAGGAGGAGGGGAGGGGTAATTGGACACACATTCGGGTACGCAGGGCTATGGGGGAGGAGCTGGAGAGACATACGAGGAGGGGGGACTATGAGGAGGGGCAGTAAGTGAAGAGGGACAATCCGGAACTTATAGGGCATCTGCCATCACGTAGCGATCAGCAAGGATGACACCGCCTGAGCTCTATGATAATCGCGGCGACGAGGCGCAGGCTGCCCAATCCGTGGAGCCAGCCGAGAAGTCTGCGAAGAGCGGCGACAACGCAGCGTGAGGCCGCCAAGCGAGTCCCGCAACCACGGAGGAGCTCACCGCTCCTAAGCCGATCCACCAAGAGCGGATCCCAGCTGAAATACATGAGAAGCACGCCGCGACAGATAGAACGAGGATGCCGAAGCCCACTCAGAACGCCTAGACATGAGCGGAAGCCGCGGCGCTACGTCCACATCGCAGAAGCCACCTCCCAGTCAACAAACGAGCGTGGAACCTGCAAAGCTGATAGTACGAACGTGACTGTGCACGTCACGTCGAGCGAAAGACAGCAGAGCCATGTGCAAGCACAAAATGACGGTGATGCTGAACTCCAAACGATCACGAGCCAACAGCCTGCCAACACCATATCATATCCAAGCAACCCTGTGCACTTCGGGCCTTCACCCTGGGACGGCTGATTAGAGCCCGTGAGCCTCGGGGACAAAGGAACGGCAGTGCACCAACACAGTGATTGCCAGGATCGCAGCGACCAGTTGTTGCAGCACGTTCCAGCGACTGCTGCCAACGGTCTGACATTGAAATCTAGCTTATGTGAAACACGCATCAACATGCACCTCAGCACATATTGAATGTGCGCTGGTACCCCAGGCTCCAACCCGGTACGGTATATTGACACAAGAACATGACAACGATTGGGCGAAACATTTCAATCTATGCGAATGAAACTCCAGAGCCAGGCCGAAATCGCAGTCGCCCACATTCGCCCAACTACGGTCAGGCTTCGAGTCGGGAGCAAAACATGCTACGGTCAATGTTCGAGTCGGTGCCTGAGTATGGACAACGAGGGGGAAGAGGCGGGAACGAGGGGAAGGATATGAGGCGGATGAGCATGAGGATTGGATTGGGACAGGGAGAGGCGACGGATGGATCGTCCTTGACTTCCAAGCCAGAACGTACCCGAGGACGGATCCATTGGCGCATTTTTGAAGAGGACAGGTTCCAAGCATCCGGATTGTTGATGTTGACAATCCCAACATTTTCTTCTGATTTTGGCCTCTGGGGGCTGTTTTCGTCCAGGCCCCAGGACCATCAGCAGTGGATGCAGGAAGGAAAACCATCCTTGGGGTCCTGGGAAAGCGGTCGAGACCCATGAGGCTAGAGGATTGATCATCGGCCAGAAGTCCAGGATAATGTTTGACGCTTCGCGTGTCCTCTCCAGCCTTCGCTCCCGTGCGCTCTAGTGCGGAATTTAGTCCACTGCTCGTTAGCCGCGTTTCTTGACGGCGCGTGGCTTTCTCCTGCACGCTCGCGAACAATGAGTATCCTCACCAGCCCATTCAAAAACATTCACCAGGCTATGTGCCCTGATCAGGGATGTGTAGCGTCCTGGTTGAGTTGTTGCTTGTCGTTGCCTACGGTGCCTGTACAACGTCGTGCGTGCCTGGGGCCGCCTTGGTAGAGAGGTTGCCTGTTGTTGCTCGCCGTGCGTGCGTTGCTCTGGGCGCGAACACCGACGACGCGCGCGCCATGGTCATCTAGCCAGCAGACAGCGACGACAGGCAACCACTCAAGCAAGGCAGCCGCGGGAAGCACACGACGACGAGGCCGCCGCCGACGACGACGACCACGACGACGGCGGCGGCGGCAGCGGCGGCAGAGGCGGAGGCGGCGGCGGCGGCGCGACGCCGACGCCGATGCCAACGCCGACGCCGAAGTCGACGGCAGGAGTCAACCATCAAGGCCTTGGCGGGTCCTTAGCTTCTTGGGGCCCTCTTGGGGCCCTTTCTGGGGCCTCCTGGGCCTTCCTGTGGATCTTCCGGGGCCCTCTCGGAGGCCTTGGGGGCCCTGTTGGGACCACCTCGGAAGCCATCGGTCAAATATAGGGGGTGCAGTCGAGCCGCTGAGGAAGAAACCCTTTTCGTTCTGAAGGGGCTCCGTGTTCCTCCATTGTTTTACAGTTTTTCTCAGGTCGTCCTTAGGTTTGCTATGGGGAAGCGAAGCCTACAGTCAACCTGCATACAAAGGATGGCCAACCTTCCCAAGGGTACCCTTGCATCCTTGCCTCCTCGGTCCATCCTGCGCCAGTTTCGTTGGCCGCGCCCCGCCCGGAAAGCTTCCAAGTGGGCGTCCTAGGCCCCTGCATCCTTCTCGCGCATCCTGACTATACGGGTTGACTGTGTCTTACGGGAGAACAGGTGCATCGTTCCTTCTTTTGGGTTCCTTCTGGCAGCGTTCCGACTGCACTCGAGCACGCCCTGGTCAGTGCGTTCCTCTCGTCGGGGCCCGGACGATCGCCCCTGGGGGGCCCTCGCGGACCGCTCGTGGGGCGGCCTCGGGCGCTCTTGGGGCTGCTTCGGGACCATCCTGCTGCTGCTGCTGCTCCTCCTCCTCCTCCTTTTGTCCTCGTCTTCCTCCTCCTCCTCCTTCTTCTCCTCCTCCTCCTCTTTCCTCCTCCTCCTCCTCCTCCTCCTCTTGACCCTTTTCCACCTCCTCCTCCTCCTCCTCCTCCTTCTCTTCCAAACCATTTTGGTTCAAGCGGCAGGCCATCTCGAGGCCTTCAGAGCCCATCGGAAGAGAAAATGGCGAGACGGCGAACAAGATTGAACACCACAGTGATTCGACGGATTTTGACTTCTTGGGGGCCTCCTTGAGAGGTTCAGAGGGCACTCGGGGCAGTCCTGGGACGGTCTTGGGGACTCTTGGAGGCACGTTGCAGGCTGTCTTGAACAATCTTGGGATATCTTTGGAGATCTTGGAGACCATGTTGGGCTTCCTGGGGCCCTCTTGGAGCCATCTTGGGCTAAAAAAGGACCCTCTGACACCTCGCGAGGCTGGGCTTTCAGACCCAGGGGGGAGGGGGGAGGGGGGAGGGGGACCCTTCTCCCCGACGGGGAAGAAGTGGGTTCGAGGCAAGACGCTGAAAGAAGGACCGCTCTGAGCTCAGGGGGGGCCAGGGCTTTCGGGCCGTTCCTTATTCGAGTCACGTCTCGGGGCATGTTCGTGGCCCAGGCCCGCCGTGGCCAGAGAAGCCCCTTCCTTCCTTACAGTGCGTTCCTTCTGGTGGCGCGACGACCGTGGCAGAGCGGGCTCCTCAGACCACTCGCGCCCAGAGGGCGTGAGGAGACCACGGTCGGCTCGCGCCGCGCGGGCGCGTCGGGAGTTCAGCGCGGGCGTTCGGCAGGCGGAATGCCGCCGGGTGGCCCGGAAGTCGTCCGACATCGGGGGGTCTGCGCCGTCGGGAGACCGCGGTCGCGCAGGGTGGCAGCAGGCAGGGAGGAGGAAGAGGACGAGTGAGGGCGGACGAGGAGCAATCGAGAGCGGGGTTTGTGAGCGATGAAGCGAGGAGGGAACATGATGAGGGATGATGGGGAGCGATGGAGGGACGGAGGGATGGGACTGATGATGCGGGTGGGAGGAATGACGGGGGATTGACTTGGCACACTCCTGACCCCGCCAGTGCATACGCAAGTGGCTCGTATCTCAGCTGCTCGTGTCGCACCGCGCCCCACGCCCGCGCAAGAGGGGGCTCCGCTTTCCGCTTGCTCGCCCGGCCGTGCGCTCGGCTGTGCGCTCCGCGAGCGTCTGGTCGCTCTTGGCTGCTCGGCTGCGGGTGCGGGCCTCTTGCGGAGAGCTCGACGGGAAGAGCCGTGTTGACGAACCAACAACACACACCCATACCCATAGAGGGGTCGGGGAGGGCTATGGGTGCGTGTTGTCGGATGGGGGTCCCCGCTTGAACGGGAGCGTTCCCCAGGGTCCGACAACCCGCACCCATACCCATAGCCAGTCCTCCTCCCAACGACCCCCCTATGGGTATGGGTGTGTGTGTTGCTCGTTCGTCACGCGTGGCGCCCTGCGTGCCTCGCCGGGGCGCGCGGCGGTCCGCCTCTCCGACCTCCCGCGCGCGCCCGACTGCCGCTCCACCAAGGCGCGCGCTCCCCTGCGCCGGGCTGCACGGATGGGGGGGGAGCAGCACGACGTCGGGAGGTCGTGGAGGGAAGGTATCCCAAGCCTCGGCATCGCTCGGACGTGTGCACTTTTTCTCGGCGTGGAGTATTAAGGAGCATCCTGGATCATCCTGCAAAACAAACCACGCATGAAACCGAAAAAAGCACAGGGAATGGACGTCCGAGCGATGGCGAGAAGCTGGGGGCCGGGGAACGCGCCCAGCCGGATGCTCCCGTTGAACGCCCTTCCCTTCTTCTAGGGGCCGTCCAGAGCGACGTCTCCTTCAGCCCCACCCCTTGGTGCCCCTGCCCCACCGCCTGTGCCTCCCCCCGGCGACCAAGCAGGAGAAGCTCCCTCCTTCGCTCCAGCTCTGGTCCCTCCGTGCTCGTTCCTCGGCGGGTTCTCTCTGTCGGCCAGTTTGCCCGCGCTTCCGAGCTGACGAACCGCGCGAGCTCCGCAGGTTTCGACGAGTTCATGAACGCTGTTCGCGGCGGTATCAACAAGAGGCCCCGTGTCTCTTGGGCCTCTTTCCTCTGCTCCTTGTGTGTGTGACCTTTGGCGCGAAGTGCTGCACACCGGGCGGATTGCACATTCCCACTGAAGGATGCTGGGCCCCGATCAGGACAGAGGGGTTCACGCAGCGCTGCTCTGCGCTCCTTCAGTAGCTTAGGCCCCTTGGAGTTCCCTGCCCGAGCCTGCGCGATGGGGGAGGGAGGGGGAGGGGGGGGGGGCGCGGCCGCTCGCATGAAGCCTGGGCCTGGATTTCTCATATGAAACCCCTGACCTGATTCAGTGATGCAAGATGGGGTCACAATCGAGCCCGCTTGCGCCAGGCAGGTATACATTCTGGGGAGGCGCACAAGGAGGGAGCCTCTTCGCCAGCAGCATGCCACCTGAGTGATTTAGCAGCTGCGCGCGTTGGGCACCAGCCGTCTGGTGGACAGACATTTGCACTGGTACAGCCGAGACGCTGGAATGAGGACCGCTTTGCGTGCAGGAGGTGCCCTGATTTTCGGACCCTTCCTTGGATCTTGGTCGGGGAACTTATTCGTGGCCAAGGCTCGCCGTGGCCAGAAAAAGCCCCTTCGTTTCTGATTCCTCGTTCCTTATGGTAGCATGATGACTGTAGAGCAACGATGGGGGGGCCGGGGGGGCACCTCAACGATTGGACACTCGCGCATGTTTAAACAACTGTAATATCCCTTCATACCGGGTATGTTCCCGGCATGAAGGAGTTGTGTATTGAGAATCCGGAGGTGGGCGCACCATCGTTGGCCACTTCCTTCCCATGTAGCCGTCGTCGCTTCTACCTCTTCGTCTCCGCTTGTTGTGATAAAAAGGGGTTCATGCGATGAGTGTGGCTGGGCGGTCGGGCAGATCAGAGCGACACTCGGAGGCGGAAGAACCTCATCCTCATGGCCTTCGACGTGCTGGACAAGACGAAGAACGGAGTCATTGAGATGGACGACGTTGCGCAGGCGTTCCGACCTGCGGGGCACGCTGAGGTGATGGCCGGCAGCTTAGCGTCTCGGGCAGCCAGACTTCACCGAGCAGATTCCACTACTCGCAGAGTGCCTACTCGTCCGAAAACACACATGGTTGCCCCGACGTGCTAGATCGTGAATACCCCGCGGCGTATCCAGGCTATTTGCCAGTAGTTAGGTACTTGCGACAGGAGGAGGAGGAGGAGGAGGAGGAGGAGGAGGAGGAGGAGGAAGACTGGGAAGGCCTGGAAAACCGCGGCCTGGGCCCGAGCTGCGGCGCGTGTGATGGGGGCACGAAGACCTTCTGCTCGGCCAGCTCGGACGTCGGCCCTGCTCTGTCGTGCCGACTTCGCGAGCTTTGCGGGCAGCAGGGGGAAGCCGTGGCTGGGAGAGCACTCCTTGTGGAGGTGCGTGGACGGGCCTTTTTTCCACCATACGACATCGTCGATGCTGGTCCAAACTGCATCATGGAGCGGGTGTACCAAGTGTGCACGTGCATTGTGGCCTGAGCTGGGAAATATTAGCTCAGGCGGGGAATGTCGAGTTTCTTCGGCCCTCCGCCCCCTGGCAACCACCGCTGAGCGGTAAAATGCTTTTGGGGTTCGCTACGGTGGCTGTACATATGTACAGGCCAGGTGGGTTGGGGGGTCGGGGCGGCTCTACGGACCCCGCCGCGGGGGGAGTCAATGCACCCTTTCCGCACCTCCATCCTTTCGCCCTGTCTGCTCCTTCGCCTTGCGCGCACTTCCCGACGTACTGACTGCTTCTGCTTCCGCAGCTATACCACTTTGGCTCTAGGGAAACGGAACAGGAGCGAGCCTACGGCGCGCGCGCGTGCGTCGGCCGGCGGGCCGGCCTCCTCCGTTCAGTGTTACTTTAGAGTATGCTTGACGGCATTATTCCTTCTTCCCCATGTCATCGGCGGAGCCCACTGACCATGATCTATTGTCGGAACATACTGCAGGGATTATGACTGTCCAGGCAAAAGACTGATAGTAGCACAACTTGCGCCCTGCGCAGCGATCACGGCAAACAGCTGCGCCCTGTGGGGCAAAATCAAACAGACGTGCTTCGCGCAGCCAAGACACATTCAACCGCGTGCGTCTTGTGAGGCAAACGTGAGAAATACGCCCCGCGGGGCAACAGCAAGGCAAACGCGATGACACATCGAATGCCATCAACAAATTGGTTGAAACAGCAGTGCAAGCGCAACAAACACATGTGACAAACCAGTGGACAAGTAGTGAACACCCTGTAAACGCTGCGGGAATCCAAGCAGTCCGCCGTGTAGCAAATTTTCCGACGCGCCCTGGTCTGTTGCCCCGACGGTTGTCTTGATGGTTGTCCCGGCCAGATTGGTGTCCCGTTTGTTGCTTCGATGGCTGCCCAGAAAGATAGTGGGATAGGCAGATGTATCGAGAGTGACATATTTGGATTTATATGGATACCGATAGATTGCGAGGCCGAGCGCCATGAGCCAACGTGCGGTCTAGCGGCGTCTTGGCTCCTACAAAATCTAGCAGTTGGTGAAGCAGTTCTGTCTAATTGCATTGTGTTCAAATGTACACACCAATTCTTGACACTTCGCGTATCCCCATCAGTCAGTTCGCGCGTTCTCGCGCCAATTATCTTGCGCTGTGCCCCAGCCTCGGTCATACCGCCCGCTGGACTTTTCCTTGCCGGCCGCAAATCAAACACGTATCCCCATCAGTGTGCTTAGGCCGCCGGTTACTCGTCGTTCGGCATATCGGTTCGCGCGTAGCCCGCTCGACCCTTCTCTCCGTTGGAGCGCTTGCCTGCGGACGCGACGAACAAGTATCCCCATCAGTTGTTTTCGTTATTGTTTTTCGCTCTTCGCCTTCTTTGTCCGCTGCGCTAATTTGGGTCGTTGCTGGCGTGCAATATCCTGGACGCCGTCCGACTTTGCTTCGCCACGGTCGCGATCAACAAAAATACCCCCATCAGCCCATCCACGAAGGATGCCAAGGCGAATTGCTTCTCAGAGTCTCCTCGGATGTCTCCTGGAAGCTTTTCAGAGGCCCCTTGGAGCGTCTTGGGGGCCTTTTGGCGGCCCCGGGGGCCTCTTGGAGCGTGTTGGGTGCCTCGGGGAGCCCCTTGGGGCCTCTTGGGGGTCTGTTGGGAGCCTCTTGGAAGCCTTTTGGGCGCCTCTCGGAGGCCTCATCGGCGCCTGTTGCGGCCCTCTTGAGGCGCTCTGGGGAGCCTTGGGAGTGCTCTTGGGGCCATCTTGGAGGAGATCGATCAAAATAGATGGGAGTTCCGATTACGTGCCCCCCTTCGGGGGCACAGCAAATCGCCTCAGTGGCCCTCGTGGGGCTGTCTTGAGGCCTCGGAAGGCCATCGGATGCGAAAAGGCGAGAATGCACAAGGCATCGATTTCCTTTAAATGTTTGAAGAGTTCTAGCCTCTTGTCGGTCGTCATGGGAGGCTCCGTGGCCACCCCGAGCCGTCTTGGAGCGGTCGTGGGGCCTCGTGTGGCATATGGAGGGCCACACTGAGCCATCTTGGGTTGTCTTGTGCCATCTTGGAGGTCATCTTGGGCTCGGAGGCCTTCCTAGAGCCACCTTTGGCCCCCCAGGTCCACGTGAGGGGGCAGGGGGAGGGGTAAACCCCTCCCCGAATGGGAACGGGGAGGGGTTGGAAGAGAAACCGCTCTAGACCACATGCGGCCTGAGGGCTGGTGGCATGTGTCTGCGTGTGACGCACATGCAGCTTTACATTTATATGCATTTACACGCACGTCTAAATACGTGTGTATATATACATACAGACAGAGACAGACATTTTTCTCTCTCTCTCTCTATATATATAAATATATATTAAACATACAGATATCAGGCTGCATTGGCGCTTCCCGTCTTGCGCCTTGTTCCGGACGCTTCCCCGGCAAAGCACTACATCATCGTTTGCTGTAGAAGTGGGGGGTCTCGAGGCCTGGACGGGCGACCATGACACGCCGAAGAAGTCGCAGCAGCTCCGAACACATCGATGTTTGGTCGCTTCCTGAATGCCTGGAGGGCTCCAGGCACTTAGGAGATCCTCGATCGTCAAATTTTGAATCTAGATCCATTGCGTGTCCCTCGCGATCGAGGAGCTGAACCTCGAGCCGCAAGCGTGGAACCAAGATCTTCGGGTCAGGTCGATGTGCTTCGTAGGAAAACGCCGTCCGGGCGTTTTTGGGGCTCTTTTGGGCTGTCCTGGGGCTCTTTGGGCCTTCCTGGGACCTTCGTGGGCCGTCTTGTGGAGCTAGGGCCCCCTGGAGGTCGTCTGAAACCATCTAGGGCCCTCGTGGGGGCCTCCTGTGGCCTTCTAGGGGGTCTCCCATGGTTTTCGTGGGTCTCTCTTGGGAGCCTTCTGGGGGCATCTTGGGTTTCAGTTTCTTGTGGGCAGTCCCAGGGCTCTCTGGGGCAGTCTTGGGGCCCTCTTGGGCCGTCTTCGAACCCTCCTGGGGGCCTCTCGGGCTGTCGAGGGGCGATGTCGGGGGCCGATCGGGCCGTCTTGGACGCTGCGAAGACCCCAAAAACGGATATGCTACGGATTTATGTCTTCGTCAGGGAATGGGACGTTTTTATTGTTCGGGACTCTCTTAATGGCCTCTTGGGGCGTCTTGGGGGCCTTATTGGGCCGTCTTCAGACCGTCGAGGTTCTTCTGGGTACGCTCTTGTGCTGTCTTGGGTCTCTCTTGCGCCTCTCCGATGACCCTCTGATCGCCTTGAGTCTGCTCGCAAGGCCCGCCAAGGCGCCTTGGAAGGTCCGAAATGGCCAGCGGACCTTTTCCAAGGGCGTGTTTTCGGGGTGGTTAAAGATATAGGACTGTGTGTGTATATATATATAAGTTGGCACATCATATATAAATGTATGTATATATATATATATATATATAAGCAATCAGCTGGGCAACACGGACCCTACAGTCCATGTTGATTGGCCGATGTGGCCCCACTTTTGAGTTGAATTCTGCGTCCAATGCATGTCGCAAACGATGTCAACCCCATCCACTCGTTTTATCACCCGACGCGTGGTCTCACTGGTGGTCGACGTATGGATGTGATCAGATGTGTCCGACCTGTTTCCGACCGCCTACGTCTGAACGCGGTCGCTCGCGAGCACGTGACCGCGGAGGGCGTGCGTGAACATGCGTTTTCGCTTTTTCAGATGATGGGGAGGAGGCCCGTGGAGGAGGTGGACGAGAAGGTGGTTTTGGCATTGTTGAGGATATCTGCGTCCGCCAAGGCTGGGGCCATGGGCGAGTCAGAGGCGCTGAAGCATTTCCTGGGTCAGTTCGACAGCATCAACAAAGACGGCGTCGTGACGAAAGAGGAGTTTATTGAGTATCCACCAGCCTGCGGCAACACTTGCCGCCGAGCCAGCGCAGCATCCAGCCCGAAGTTTTCCCATGTTAGGGGCCGCTTGGGAAGCGCTTCCAGACTGCTGCAGCGTGCCGTGGCCATAGACTTGCATGGCTGTTGCGTCGTCTCTTGACCGCCTCTTGGGATGTGTTGGGGGTGCGCCTTGCAGATCTGTGGGTTCTCGGGCGGCCCTTGGGGCTTTCAGGGGCCTCTTTGGGCTCCTCCTCCGTCTCCTCTTCCTCCTCCTCTTCCTCTTCCTCCTCCTTTTCCTCCTCTTCCTCCTCCTCTTCCTCCTCCTCTTTCTCCTCCTCTTCCTCCTCTTCCTCCTCCTCCTCTTCCTCCTCTTCCTCCTCCTCCTCTTCCTCTTCCTCTCCTCTTTAGGCTCCTCCTCCTCTTCCTCCTCCCTGGCCGTTTTTGGGGAGGCAGGCGCGCTTTGTTTTCGGGCGCCGGAGGCCCTCGCCCCCCTCTCGTGTCTGGGCCGGGGGCGTTCTGCCCGCAGACTAGGGTCTTTATCGGCGGCGAGCCCGGGGGGGCAAGTGAGAAGGAGAAGTCGGGGCTCAAGGGACGGGGGTCAATGCAAACGGGGGTCAGCCAGAGCGCAGGATCTTGCAGGATCCTGCAGGGACAGGGTCGCATTGACCCGGGTTTGGGTGCAGGATCCTGCAGGATCTTGTAGGATTCTTCGCGCTGACCTGGGTTTGGGTGCAGGATCTTGCAGGATTTTGCAAGGCTTGACTGACCCGGGTTTGGGTTGACCCGGGTCAGAAGATCCCCGAAGAAGGCCGTCTCTGAAGGCTCGGGAGTCACCCGGCCTTCTGAGAAGTGTGCTGGGCTTTCCCCGAAGACGCAGAACACTTCCCAGAAGTCCCGCCGCCTTCTGCCGAGGAGCCCTCATCCTTCTCACGTTCCCCCCGGGGCGCGCCGCCGAATGTGGTTTTGGGGTCAGAACTCGTGTCAGCAGCGGCCGTTCGGGACGATCCGGGCACCCCCGGAACGCCCTCGGCGAGGCGAAGCTGTTGGCAACCATGGCTGGAAGACCCCCGAAAGCCTACGAAAACGTCCGGAAACCTCGCTCGCCGCCGACTTTCGATTGAGGTATTGCTGGGCCCGCGCGGGCCCGCGCCCAGCCGCGGGGGCCTTCGTCGGGGTCGGCGAGGAGGCCGTCGTGGGTGCGCGGCGGCTCTGCCGAGCTCGCTCCCGGAGGGGCTCGGCAGGGAACAACCCCCCTGGGCAGATCGGGCCGGGCGAAAGGGGGGGACTGGGAAAGGGGGGGTTATGATGGGCGCGTTTTCCACCACCACCACCATGAGTTGGAGGGGGGAAGGCGGAGGAGGACAACGAGAAGGAGGACGAAGAGAAGGAGGACGAGGAGGAGGAGGAGAAGGAGGAGGACCACCTCCCCCTCCAACTTATGGTGGTGGTGGTGGAAAACACACCCATCAGGTTACACAATTTGCTGCATGCAGCTGGTTTCGGCCTCACCGAGGGGCCCATTCCTCGATACATGGCCGCCTCCGGCGCCGGGAGGCGCCGGGAAACTCAGCTACGTGAGCTGATTCTCAAACCCCCCCTTTGCTATCCCCCCCTTTCGCCCGACCCGAGAAGAGGTTCCAAAGTCACCGAGCGCAGTCCACGTCTCTCGCCAAGTACCTGCTCGCAAGCGTCGGGGAAAAAAACATTCGTTGGCCTCGGTGCAGTGTGTCATGAATGCCCTGTGGTTGATCTGGGCCATATGCGAGCAGTTCCTGTACGAGTAGTGGAGCGCGCTTGTCTACAACAGGCGTGCGCAGAGAGGGGGAGCGCCCTGGATACACGCCGGTCGTTAAAGGTAGGTATTTCTGGATGTCCGGATCAGCTGATTTCATTGGAAGAAGGACAACAAAAACATCACATATAAATTTGGCGCTCCGCGCGGATTTCCTGGATCCGCGCTGGGCCCCCCCCCCCGACGCCCCCCCTGGCGCGCTCCGTTCGCCAGAGAGGGGGGCCCAGCGCAGATCCAAGAAATTCGCGCGGAGCGCCAAACGTTTATGTTTATTGCATTTTGTCTTCGTCTAATTTCTGGCTTCCCTGATCTTAATCTACTTCAAGCGCCTTCCTATTTCAATGATCGGCATGGCATTGACGTGTTTTGTCATTCTCCGCGAGGGCCTGGACCCAATCTACTTTAACCGCTCTCCTGCTTCATGTATTCTACCCACCTCTTCCGACCGACGTGTACTGTTTTTGTGTTATCGTCTTGCGCGTAACGGTCCTTACCTGGGCCCAGCCTTGCCCCCCCCCCCAGGTAACAGTAACGATCGCACGCAGGGGGGAGGCTTGGACCCCCTCCCATCGCGAGCATGTTGTGTCGATTGCAGCGCACCCTCGCCCCGACGTGCCCCACTCCGCCCAGGCGTCTCCGCTACCCGGGCCAAGCCCTGGTGGCAATTACCTTTACGGGAAGTAACGACCTCCCTAGAACATAGCAGAAACAAAACCAGACAGCTAGAGGGGATCCTGACGCACCTCAGCGGGCCGTTGGCGCGGAGGCGGCTTACAAGAACGTGTCAGCTTCCATAGGCCTTGCCGCTCCAACTTTCATCCGCAGAGGTCTCCTCGCCACAAAAGCGATAACAAGGAGGGGCAGGAGCAGGAGCATGAGGCGGTGGGAGGGAGACGAAATGAGGAGCGAGAGGGGGAAGAGGAGGGGTGGCGTAATCATGACTATCCTGGCGGATGTGTCGCTGACGATTGGCTACAGCTTTGGTAGAGAAAGCAAGTCCAGGGGCTGCCAGTCCTGACAGGAGCGCGTTCCTGAGCTTCTGCGCAGACCAGGGGGGGGGGGGGGGGCGGGGTGAACGAGCGTGACTGTGGCATTTGGCCCCTCGTGGATCAGAGGCCTCGTGGATTCCTGTTAGGGCTTATTGAAGGCCTTTGGGATGTTTCTGGCTGCCAATTGCGGGTTCTTCTGACTTTCCTGGGGATCTCTCGGTGTTTTTTTGGGTGACTCTTGGAGGCTTCTGGGAGGCCTTGGGGGCTTTTTTGGGGGGGCCTGAAGGCGGTATCTGCGACCATCTTGGGGAGAGGGCTCCCGAGGCCACTCCGACTCGTTGTTTTTAGGCCTGTCTTGGGATCTTCTGGGGGGTATTCTGATCTCTCAGGGGCGTTGGGGGCCTCGGGGGTCGTCTTGGACGCTCTTCTGACCCTAAAGGCGGGTATGCGACAATCATGCAACAATCTTCGTTTGTTCCCACCTGGCAGGTAGGGGTCGCTCCCCAGGTCCACCGAGGATCCCCGAGACTCCCGGCCCTGTGACCAGGACAGAGCATAACTGACTGCACAGAGCGCGGTAGAAATACCAGGCAATTTAAAAGTATACTAGCTGAACAAACTACATAACATGTCATACCATAGCACAGCATACCATCGTAGGGATACCTCATCATAGCAACGCATTCTCTGACGTAGCGGAGCGCGCAAGTCGGAACATGACCTTACACGTTGTACCATACTGTAGTACATCGTAACATCGCATAACGGTACCTAGTAGCCCGTCATATGGAAGGCCATACAAAACCAGAGCGCAATATCAATGTCACATGGTAACATACTTGGGCAACACGCACCATGTCCGACAGCGGCACACGACACAAACAGATGTCATACCATAACACAACATCGCGTAGTCTGCCATACCACTAACACGACAGACCATACCATAACGTAGTATCACACTGCATGGAATAACAACCCTAGAGTAGACTATACAATACGTGCTGTACGATTATTCTCATGGCGCAGCGAGTACATTCGAGCACCATATATTGTTACACATTGAAGATACATATTTCAGCGCAACGCGACGTACCCTATTGTACATGCATCTCGATGAAACCAGCATGTCATACCGCACATGTTGTATTATTGTTACCACTACGACGACAATGAACCCCCATGACGTATTGACATCAATGAAGAGGTATGCCATAAATTGAATATCCGCATACCACAACACAATGATAACAGTTTAGCGTACATGACATTTCAGAACAGAGCATCCCATAATATCACAATATACCACAGCACTTCACAGTATGGCATAGCCGATCGTAACATAGGTCAATGAACAGACGATGGCGATTCACCACTGCGGATGGACATCATAGCATACTCGAGCTTACCTTTATGTGATCAAGCGCGACGTGCGTGCCGAGGTCAGGCTGGCCACAGGAGCAGACGGCGCAGCAACGACCGATTGGACGCCGTGTCTAACGTGACAGGCGTCACGGCTTCACGCCAGCCCGTGGAGAACGCAGCAGAGCACGATACAGGGTAACACACCAGAACATGATGGAACATCTGATAGGTTAGAGTTGATACACACAGCAAAGACATGTTCTTTGCGCCTTGTCGAACGCAGCACCCACGCCGACGTAGGGCTCGCCACAGGGCATTTACAGGCCCAGCAACGACTGACTATGTATTTACACACATGTATGCATATTTATATGTGCATACATGTGTATGTTTATGTGTGTAAAGGTGTTTGTATATGTAGCTGTATATATATATGTATTTGTATACGTATCTGTATGCATGTGTGCATGTGTGTATGCTTGTCTGTCTGCCTGTCTGTATGCATGTATGCATGCATGTATGTATGTATGTATACATATATATATTTATATTGATACCTGTCCACATAACTATATTTCTACACATATATATATACATACACATATGGTCGCCCCCCGTTGCCCCCTCCCCTGTGATCATACATCCTCTTCCTCCTCCTCCTCCTCTGCCTCTTCTTCCTCCTCATCCGACTCCTTCCACCTCCTCCTCCTCCTCCTATGATCGCGCCGCCTCCTCCTCATCCTCCTCTCTCTTTCTCTCTCTTTCTCTCTTTCTGTCGATTTCCCATTCTCGGGACACTTGCCGTTGCAAAATAAGGTGTTTTCCAAATGTTCCAGATATTCCAGGTCTCACCATCCAAATATTGCAGATCTCATCATAA